TAAATATGGCTTCCTTGGAGTTATCTCAACCAAGTCTACCTCAACCTCATTGGCCTCGTGGCCAAAATGATTGATTGTATAGTCTATGTTTAGGAAGAATGATCCCCTTGAGGCACTCCTACGATTCTCTTCCTCATGTAGAAGAGATTCGTACCTGACAGCACAACACATGAGTTAAAACAAGTCAAAGAACTCCCTATCTTGGAATTTCTTCCTTAGTTCAAAACTCAAACCCCCTTGTGCCAGCTTGACAAACTCCCTCTCCGTCAAATTGACAAAGCAACGGTTACGAGCATTCTTGAAGTTAGTCAAGAAATGCTCCACGATTCCTCTGGCTGTTGGCGCATACGTGTCAAGTCAGCCATGGACACCTCGGGTTTAGATCTATAAAATTGAGCATGAAAGACTTGCTCCATTTTTTGCCAAGTCTAGAGGGAGTTAGATGGCAAGCACAAACAGTCTTAACTTAAAAAAATCCCCTACATCGCCACATTGGACAGTGAAATGTCCAATGTGATCTACAGTGGATTGATCTCCAGTCCCTATGAATGTGGCAAACTCGGGAACTCCGAATCCCCTTGGAAATGGGTGAAGCCTATCTACCCATTTAGGATATGCTTCTGGTACACAGCTGGCATGGCAGGTCTTACTCCCACGTCAAACTGCTCCGTGAGGAGTTTAGCCACTTGATCCCTAAGGGTGTTGGCGTCATGCCCCCCTTGTTGCCCCCTATACGGTACAAACCCAATGAGATCGATGTCATGCCCATTGAAATGGGTGACGTTGGAATTGGGTAGCCTCGTGGTGGGATCTGATCCATGTGTCCACCTAGACCTCCTCCTACTCCCAAATTAATAGGAGCCACGTAGGGTCTTGCCTCCAGGATAGATGGACGAGCACCCACTTGCCCGGGTGGCTGCTCAACTTGAGTGTTGAACATGGTGGCGAGGCTCTCACCACGCGGAGGTAGTTCTCCAACTCCTACGCGTGCATGTGACCACTCCCCCACTTGAGTAGTGGCAAGAATCTCGCCATGATCTCCTTGACGTGGAGGTGGTTGGTTTGTCGCCTGAGATGACAAATTCTCTTGCCGTGATTGCCCATTTCGACCACCAACGAGAGATAAAATGACATTAGTTGGATTTGGGTTCGGGCCCTCAGATGGCAAACCTCTTGGTTGTACCACTTGTGTGGTCAAAAGCCTCCTAAACTCATCAAAATCATTCCTATTTTTAGTGACAATCTCGAATAATTTCCCAAAACATTAATCTATGCAAGAATTGAGACAATAAATTTGACAATTCACCTGAAGTGTATTGCCTGCCAAAGCCTCCCCCACGAATTGGGAAGTGACCCAATGGCGACGAGTACATCTACATTCATATTTGGAGTCGACGTAGGCAAAGCCTCCATCCCTTCATTGTCTCCGGCACCAACTTCTGCACCTTGGCCATGTTTAATGTTGGCCACTTGCTCTTCCACAAACCAGGGTGGATCATCTCCTTCCTGGTTCCTCCGTCTCGAAGCCATTAACACGAACACAGTGGTCCTACTAGGTGTGCCAATTTGTTTTCCGGTGAGAAAACTTGCGTTGAAATCGAATTGATTGTCCCTTAACTTCTTGGCCAACGATCAACTTAACATGGTTCACACCTCTTCAAACAAAGTTCGAACGAGGGTGTTCGATGTTTACACGACTCACGAGACAGAATCTACATTAAATTAGCCCTACTCCTATGGAGGATCAGTGAGAGCTCCATACTACAACTATTGCTACTTGTAGAGAAAAAAGCATAAAGTTTGACGTAGGCGTCAATTGTTTGATTGTGGAACCCCCTCTGCCAACCTTTCCTCTTATTTATAGACACGAGCGGGTAACTGATTGTCCTTTGAAACCATGTTGCCTCTCTTGAAACCGTCATGAGACATGGAGTGTAGCTTGCCTTGCTTTATGTTATTTTGAATCTCATGTTGCTAGTCTTTTAATAAGCCTATGGTGTCTCACAAAAGGGGAAGTGGTCTTCTTGCCAGGCGGCCATGGACTTCTCACTCATGTTTGTGGCCTCACGTGACATGAATGGCCTTCTAATACTTAGTATTTTTCAATCGTACCTAAAGACCTCTTTTCTAGCGTCCATGCCCCTTCTCGTGAAGTGGCATTGACCTCTCAGACTTAGTTATTTTTTTGTCTCATATAAGAGATGTCTCTTACGAGTCATGACCTCTTCCTTCTTCGGCCATGCTATCATCTCTCTCGTTAAGATGACATGTACTTCTACATTGAAATGAGCATGGCCCTCTTCGTGAAGTGACACGTGCTTCTCGATTTCTAGAGGGACACGACCCTCCTAGTTGAAGTAGCACGACCTTCTCCATACTTAGAATATTTTTGTACACCGGAGGGGGCCATGATCACGTGACTTAGGGAATTCATTGAAGCGGCACGTCCTTCTTGATTTCTAGAGGGACATGACCCTCCTCGTTGAAGCGGCATGTCCTTCTCCAGATTTAGAATATTTTTATACAATCTCGTGGCATTATATGGCCTCCTACGAGGGGCCCATGTCCCTCATTGAATCATGTCCACGCTCACTATTACTTAGTGGCTTGGACTTAAAATCAATATCCATAAGGTCCAACTTAAATAACATTAACTGTTATAATTGATGTGGCTTTATAAGATCATTAATTACGACAAATTTTATGGTGTAAACCATACGTATTAACATACTTGAGTTAATTGTCTAGAATGAAAGAGAAAAACATTTTCAAATGAATTACTCGTGATTCACTCGATTTCCCATCATCAATCGTGGGCAACCCTCGGACCAGCTGCTGGTTTATACATATTAACATACTTAAATTAATTGTCTAAAATGAACGAAAAAAGCATTTTTCTTGGGCTGAAAACATCTCAAAACAAAACATTGTTTAGATATTACTCTGAAATGCTCCAAAGTCTATAAAAAAAACAATTTCATTCCCCCGTATCACTCACCAAATTTGATATTTTAGCACTTGGCATTGGAGATCATCATATCTTATCACCCATTTTGGTCCCAAAAATCAGAGCCAATCCCACAAATCAGTTGGGTAACTTGGTAACAATGAGATAAAAGGGAGCTTCAGTATCAGAAACATATGCGCTGCCGCACCAGGCTCAAGATAGGGTGCATAATCATGGGTTATGCACCCATCAATAACTAAATATGGACCCTTCATTCAGAAAATCGAGACCTAAGGATGGAGAATTAAAAGTCATTTTTATTTTCTTTTGTTTTCTTAATCGGCTCATATCTTCTTCGTTTTAACTCGGATTTCAACTTTTTTTTTTGCATAGATGGAACGAGTTCGTTGTGCTCTACAAAACGAGATCCATTTTCAATATTTCCTGAGGAAAAAAGAATTCTCGCATCTCGGTACCAACTGCATATAATATGGTATCTTCTTCGTTTTTGAAAACGTTTGCGCAGAAGTAACGAGTTCATCATGATCTATTGGATCTACAAATTTCTGGGTGAACAAATTACAGGACCAAAAAATACCACACAATACCACAAAATACCACCCTGATACGGGGTGGTATCTTGTGGTATACAATGTTAAAAGTCTTAAATGACAGTTAATATACTTCTATTATCATGTATTCAACCATCCTACAGTCTTGGTTTGTTCATACCATCAAAGTGAATATCATTTTGAAAAGCACAATTAATCTGTTCTAACTGTGCAAAAAAATTAAATTTCAACTTAAAACGCGTGAGAAATCGTCCATCAAAGATTAAGAAGGGAAAAATTAAAGACTTTCCAGAAGAGAGAAGGATACTGATGTCATGGTTATGTGGACGAGTTATTTATGGTTAGGGCTGGGCATGCGGGCGGATCATCCGCGGGTAGAGGTGGCAATTGGATCGGATTCGTGGATTCGTGGATTGGATTGATGGATTCATGGATCAAATGGATTGGATCCAATGGATTGGTGGATTCATGGATTGGTGGATTGATCCATGAATCCAAATGACATCTAAGGCTTGGACCAAAATGTAAAATTTGAAAAGTTTTGGTACTAAAATGTCACAATGAAAAATTTTAGGTACCAAAATGTAAAATATAAAATATATAGGTACCAAATCGCAATTTGCCATTTGGATCCATGGATTGATCCATGAATCCACCAATCCAATTGGATTTGGATCAAATGGATTGGATTTAAATGGATTGGATTAAGTGGATAATTTGGTGGATGGATTGGATTGGATTCATGGATTTGGATCCCAATTGCCACTTCTATCCACGGGTTTGGACCGACCCACCTGCATTTGCCCCGAATTTCGTTAAGTGGGTGGGTCTGTGGGTGAGTGACGGGTTGCTCTGGGAGCCATCCGCCGGGTGGTGGGTGGGTTGTGGGTGAGTGTGCGGGTGACCCGCTCAACCCAACAGCAAAAAGATCAAAGTCGTTGGCGCTAGAGATAGGAGAGTGGAGACATTAGATATAAACTCAGACTGCTCCTGGAGTTTGGACTTCAAAGCCAACCTTCCAAATAGAGATCCCCTCTTCTTCCCTTTACTTTTTCCTCTAATTCTTGTGCCTAGATCACCGCTCTTTCCTTTGTGGAATTATTTTCCTTAGTTCCTTGCACCTAATAATCATCTCAATCTGTAGAAAACTCTTTCATAATAGAATTTCTATCCAATTTAAGAACTAATTCGACATTTTTCGCTCTATTTCAACTTCTTGTTTCCCTCAATGATTCTCTTCACCTATTATCATGTCAAGTTGACTCCTTTATATTATATACATTGTGATGTGGGTGAACCCACAAACTCACCCGCATTATCCACCATCCGCCCGACCCAACCCGAGACTAAATGTGGGTGGGTGGTGGGTTAAAAATTATCAATCCGTTTAAGCGCGGGTGGGTACATTTTATTGTCAAAATCCACCCGACCCACCCAATGCCCACCTATACTTATGGTTACCCACGCCGCACCAGATCGCTGCTTCCTAATCTCACGGAGCTCACCTTCCCTTTCTCTCACTGACCCCAATCATCTGGTCATCCATTTTCCTCGACTTCCCATCCCAGACCAGAAAACAATTCCAAATTGAATAGAAGTCTCCGCCGCCACGTCAGCCGATCCTCTCGCGAGTTCCCCTTTCTTCTCCGTCGCGGCCGCAACCCTTAATTTCACCTCCATCTACGCGTAGTCCTACTCTAATTCAGTCAGTCATATTCACTCGATTTTCCTGTTAGCTGTGCACTTGGACTCAATATTTTCAATGGAGGAAGCTGGAGGAATTGAAACCGTCCCGCCGCTGGTGAAGTTCAGAGCTGACTTCTCCAGAATCTTCCAGCACTATCTGGATAGATCAGCGCCTCTGCCGCTGCAGAGGTGGCTTGGGACGCTGGTTGTGGCGCTGATATACGTCTGGCGGATTTACTCTGTCCAGGGGTTCTACGTCGTCTCGTACGGGCTTGGGATCTATGTCCTGAATCTCTTGATCGGGTTTCTTTCGCCGAAAGTTGATCCCGAGGTTGAAGCTCTTGAATCTCTTGATGGAGCTTTGCCGACTAAAACTTCAGATGAATTCAGGCCGTTTGTTCGCCGGCTTCCTGAATTCAAGTTCTGGTAATGTTTCTGTCTTTGCCCAAAGTTTCCTGTTGTGGATTTAAGTCGATTTGAAAACAAGCTTCGAGATGAACAATTGAGGTGCTTGTTCAGCTGCTATAGAATAAGTCACCCGTCCTAGTTTTGGAGTCTGTGGTTCGGCGTTTGTAAAATGGTGGTTCAGTGAGTGATTGTTTGTTTTGGTCCCTGAAGAATTTGTCCAACAATTCATAGCTGATTCTGACCATTGATGCTTCCTCCTTTTAGTCATATCATCAAGGAGTATCAGTGTATTTATTTATGTGGAATGCGTTGAGCCGTGTGATTAGATCACCTGGGTATCATGGCTTTGTGATTTTCCATATTTAGATGTGAGCTGAAATACCTATGCGCTTAGTTATCTGTAAGTGCTTCCATTGCCATGGGGCGATACCAGATGATTTGAGCCTGTGGCATGTGGCAGAGATGCAATGATAAGGAAGGTAGTTTTTTGTTCGATAAACCATAAACAATTTGCTTTGCTGTGTATTCCAGGTACGCCATCACCAAGGCTTTTATAATTGCTTTCATCATGACACTGTTCTCTGTGCTGGATGTGCCCGTTTTCTGGCCAATACTCTTGATTTATTGGGTAGTTCTCTTTGTTCTCACTATGAAGAGACAAATTCTGCATATGATCAAGTACAAGTATGTACCTTTCGACTTGGGAAAGAAGGTGAGCTTGTTGGTTGTGCTGCGTGGGTGTTGGCACTTTGGTTAATACCCTCCCCGTTCTTTATGTTATTCTTCCAGTTTGGTATTGTGTAGGTTGCTATGTATTGATATATTTCCTGTTAATGTGTACAGAAGTACAAGGGGAGCAAGCGTTCTGAAGGAAGTAGTAGTAGCAAGTCGCGAGACTGAACTACATGAAGAGCTGATGCTTCCTTGAAACTGGCTGTGTTTTGCTCAACTGAGAAACTTGGAGTTTTCTATCTGCTTGTAGGTTGAAGGGTGTTGGCATGTCTTGAAGATGGTTGCTATCGGCAAGAAACGTCTTGATACTCCCCACTCTGCTTACCAGAAAGTGTGGTTGTTAGCTTTTAGAATTGTTTTTTGTGCTCGTAGTTCAAACAAGAGTCGATCCTTGTTGGGTGCTTTATTGTATTAAAATTCATCAACTAACTTGTCTGAAAGGTTGTCTTTGTTTTTTCGGGATACAAGGGGTTTATTGGGGTGTGTTTTAAAAGCGAAATGGGTAGCAAAGTTACAGAAGAGTGTGAAAGCTACTGAAGTATTTAGGGTTCCTTGGTCAATTGTATCCGTATCGTCTTTTACACCGAATCTACTGTATCATTACACCGAATCTACTGTATCATTTATTTATAGTGGAAAAGTAAAACTGCATGGCTAAGTTGTAAGTTTGGTTACTTGAATTACTAGTAAAATTCACGTTAGCCACTAGAATTACTTTATTCCATTTGTAGTCACTTAAATTGGGTTAACAATCCAAGTTTGGTCATTGTCCGTTAGTCTCCGTTAACTTTTGCTGATGTGGCGGTCAACTGAGTGACGTGGCAATTAAAAAATTAATAAGAAAATAAATTTTAAATTTTGTAATTTCCAACTCATTTTTACACTCATTGACAAAAAAAGAAAAACTTAATGTCTGATCAATTTTTTTCCCCTTCCTTTCCCTTTCCTCTGCTCATGGACGAAACGAATCGCTGATTCACAGAAATGCTACTGTTATAATCTTCCCCTTTTTGCTGCCCTATTTCAAAAAACAAAACGCCAGCTGCAGCCAAAAAATTCCCACGCCCATGACAATGCTCAGGCACAATAAAAGCAAAAACAACAGCAGCACGAGAAGAAGACAAATCACCATGCCAATTCAATTGAATTTTGACCATCCAGAAACAATGTCTGAACTCCCACGAAACAATTTAGAGACGCTCAGGAATTAAGAACAATCGAGTTTGTAGAAACCGAGCAACCTCCGACAGAGCATAATAGAAGAAAAACCCCAAGAGAGAGAAAGACAACGACCAGTGCAACGACTCACAAACTCCATTACCGGAATTCTTCGCGGGAGAAATGCACGCTTCCACTGCGGAGCTTCACTGCCAGTACGGCGCGCACAAAGAGAAAGTACAACAGAAGAAGTGCACATCGAGAATTTTTGGTCTCGACGAATTGACAAAATGGACTGGAAGAAAGACAGAAAAAAAGAGGTGGCAACAGATCGAGGAGTAGTGCCGTGGTTTTCATTGAGAAGAAAATCGAAACCGGAATTGGGATAGAAATGGAGGTGGTGATGAGTTTGGTGAGCCGCTGCTGTCGCTGTTGGTCACTCCGGTCGATGATGAGATGACTCCCGCCGCTGATCGCAATGGTCATCGTGGCGGCCACAGCTCAGCTGTTAATCACCTACTCTCGCCTTATTTCCCGCTACCTCCTCCTCTTCCTACGCCGCTACCGTCGCAGGCGCGACCGTCGACGGAGATCCTACCTGCCGAATTCCCCGTCGTCCACCAACGGAGCCGGCGATTACCTCGACTCGCCACCGCCGCTCTTCGACTCCCCCGACGGATTCCACCACATCTACGTCGGCGCCTTTCCCTACGATCTCGACGATTCAGTGATCAAGACGATTCCAATCTTCCTCTAAAGCAGCAACTGCGACAGCTTCCGTAAATTGCCCTCCCCTGCCGCCGCCTGCAGAGACTGTTGTCTGCTGCAGTTCGAAGACGGAGATTACGTACGCAAGCTTCCCGTCTACTCCCACGCCTTCCACGTTGATTGCATCGACATCTGAGTTAGGTATCACGCCAACTGCTCGCTCTCATGGCGGCGCGATTCGGCCCAGCCTCATTGACGGGCGCTCCAATGCGCTATCGAGTCTTTCAAGTAGAGAACTTTTGGAGTTCGATTTCCCCATCCCCGGTGGGTCGTGGAGGAGGTAGCTCCGCTTCCAGATGCGGCCGGAGGCAAGGGAAGTGGGTGGTTGGAACAGGAGAGAGGGGCGGAGAGGAATCGGTTATGAGGTGATGGTTGGGATCGGGGTGAGGATGATGTCGTGGGAAGGGTTGGAGCCGGAGAAGAGGTTGGTGGCGGCGAAGGAATCAGAGTTTTGGAGGACGACGGGTAGTAGAATTGCGACGCCTGCGAAGTTAGCGGCGGAGACGATGAGCACGATGACGGCGGAAATAATAATTAAAGATATTTGGTTTTTTTTTAATTTATAATAATTAGATGGAAAATAAGAAATAATTTATTTTATTATTTTTTTAATTGCCACGTCACTCATTTAACGGTCAACTATAATAGTTGACCGCCACATCAGCAAAAGTTAACGGAGACTAACGGCCAGTGACTAAACTTGAACTGTTAACCTAATTTAAGTGACTACTGATGGAATAAAATAATTCTAGTGAAATTTACTAATAAATCAAGTGACCAAACTTGCAATTGAGCCAAAACTGCATCCACCATTTAAAATTCTGTGCGCTTAGAGTGATTTGCGGGAGCTGAGGTGGCTGGACATTTAGGTGGGGTTTTCTTCTTCCCTTCGTGGAACCGCAATAGCCCTTCTCCCTTTACCTTTCTCCCACTAACCGCCTTTTCAAATCCGTCTTCTTTGCCCGCCGATCGATTCACTCAAAACCCAGTTCTTTTTTTCCCATTTCTGCATCGTGTACCAAGGACCCAGTTACTTTTCCCCCTCTACGTCGATTTCAACTCTCGCTTCGCCCTCGATTCCTGGGTGTGCAAACAACAACGATTTTAAGATGGATAAGAGTTTATGGATTATGGCGCTGTAGCTTCTCTTCTCTTGGGTCTGAAGGAGAGCGGTGGAATTAAAAAAGGCTGCAGGGTCCAAATTGGTTTGTGGGATCGTGGAGTTGAGGTTGTCTGAACTTGGCAATCCGCCATTTCATCTTCCCGCCACACTGATTTCAAGATGAGTTTATGGGTTCTGGCCAGGCATATCGATTCCAGGTAATAGATATCGGATGGAGGTAAATGGGTTTCGAAGATATTGATGGACTGGGACAACACCAATTCGGATCTGGGCGACGAGGAGGAGGAAGGAAGCTTCGACCTTGACCTCAAAGATGGCGTTGGTCCAATGCCTTTTCGTCGAGAGCTTGCTTCAAACCGCGCCTTGTGGTTTCTTGGTCACTGATTCCTCTCAAGCCTGACCACACTATCATCTACGTCAATACTGTATTTGAGAAGATTACTTGGTATCGTGTTGAGGAGGTGAGGTGCTCGGCCGCAACTGGTATGTCTTTTCTATCCCTTTGTTTTTGCTAATTCGGAGCTGTAAATTTTGGTTTAGTTCCTCGATTTCGCCCTGTTCGTAGGATGGGGTGCGATATTGTTCTCGGGTGTTGGCCAATTTACACTTCGGATTTGAAGCAATTTACCCTTCACGCCAGCTGCTTTCGTTTTCATCCTAGCGTCGCCCTCTGGCCAGCCTCTGTTCCCAACCAACGTGTCATCGCCCCCTCAAATCCTAGACTATATCGGCGATCCAAAACCCAATCTCGGAATCAGAATCCGCCCACCCAACTTCTCTGCTTCTGAAACCCAGGTTCCACTGATTCCCCGCTCTATTCTTGTTTTAGCGTCCTTCTTCTGTTTGAATCCCAAATCCGTCTGATTATTGTTCTTCCTTTGTTCTTCACCCCGGCTCCCACTCTACTTCTCCAGTTCTACGTCGGGCTACCATACAGCTTGGATGAAGGAATTACTAGCCAGGTTCGATCGATTCCTCATTTTGTTCCCCTTCTAGCGACCTCCATTCGCTTCAATTCCCAAATCCATCTGATTGATGTTTGACTTTCTTCTTCACCTCAGTTTCCCGTCTGCCTCTCCCATTCAATGCCGAGTTGTCGTCCATCTGGGAAGAAGGGATTACTGGCCAGTTGGCCAATCTATATACACAGCAATTTTTTCCCCCAATTCCACGATGATCGTCTCACTGTGAAGAAGGGTTTCTCGACTGCGGTTCCCACTTCCCAACCTCATCTACAATTGGTACTTACAGCCTCTACGAGAAAGAAGTGAATGGGGACGGTGCGTGGCAAATGGAACGAGCAATGTGTTAGTGGTTTTTCATTCGCCTCAAAACTGGTGCATGCATGGGTTTTTATTAACTTCTTTCACAACTTATAATTTCATTCGTTTTCTCGGCACTTTTAAGCTTGCACATATATCGGAAGTGATTTATGCTTGAAATAGTACATTGTTGACGCCTCTTATTGCTATTGAAAAGGGGACATAGAAGATGTCATTTTCATGTGTTGTTCTAACAGTAGTTAGTTATGGGTGGTCTCCATAGGTCCAGAACTTCAAAAGGAAGCACTGATGTTCTAATTGCAAGTCAATAACCATTAGTGCTTATTCAACTCTTTTTGATGATAGTGAAATCATTTTATTAGGAATTAAGAAAACTACATATAAAAAAGGAGTTAAAAAATGAATAGGGATTCCCTAACAAGTAGATCAGATCAATTCAATAAGAAGTTCCTCACGTCAATTTCCAGCTCCTGATCTTGAAAGATAATTCTTATGGATTCACACCTGCTAACTCTTAGAATTTGGTGGAAACCAATGGATTTATGTAGGAAACAAGATTTCCTACAGAGTGGGAATTGGGGAATTTAGCTAGATCAATTAGGGATTGATCCAACTAGGGATTAGAATTGGGGATTTAGAACAAGAAGAGGGAAGAATTTGGGCTGCTGCTGCCGCAGCTTTGGAGGGAGAAAAGAGAGAGAGAGGGAACACGCAGGAGAGAGGAGAGAGAGAATTAGGGTTTAAGTTTTTGGTTCTGTAATTGCTTAATCCCAAAATAAGACCCTATTACAGATTATATAACCTGTCAAATTCCTATCTGCTACCCGAATAATAAAACGTAACAATTAACTCCCTGTTTATTCCCCCAAGTACCCAAATAATACCCCAATCAATAAAAACCGACTCTAATACGAAATAACCGGAAACTGCTAATAATTGTGTTTCCCACATCCCCTCTTCCTTCGAAAAACAACCTTGTCCTCAAGGTTGTTCCTCCATCTTACTAGGTCTCTTCCTCCCCATTTCCGGCGTCCTCCTCCTCATCCTCTGCTTCATCTTCCCAGCGTCCCACTAACATCATCAAATCCGGTTTCGGGCACTGGTGACCAATGGTGAACCGACCATCACAGTTGAAGCACTTGCCCTCCCGCCGAACCCCTTTGGTATGGCCCTCGGCCCCATCCTAGATACTGGCGCAGGGCCTCCACTGCCCGCGTTGGCTCCAGTCAAGCCTCCCCCAGTTGCCCCTCCTGTGCCGCTACTAGCGCTGTTGCTTCCTCCTCCTCCGCCTGGCTTTGAGAAGCGGCCAATGGTGCTTCTCCAGCTAGCCAGTTCTTCCT